GATGTGTTGCAGTGGGATATGATTGATGTTGATGATAGGTAACTATTGGTCGCAATTTATGATTATGAAAGGCTACCAGGGATTGCGATCAATGCTGATGATGGGCACAGACAGGGCTGGGACAAGGGGTAGGCAGGAGGGACAGCTGCCCTGGGCACAGCAGAGTAATGGGGCAGAGATTGGACACAGGACAGTAAACTCATTCTACAGCCTGCATTATCAGTGGGGGAGGGGGTGCAGTTCCTCATCCTTGCCCTGGGCGCTGCACTCACCTGTCCTAGTACTGGGTGCAGATTAGGTATTGCTATTGGTTGAGAATAACGATGATGGGTTGCTATGGGTTACAATTTATGTTGCTGATGGGTTGCTATGTGTTCTGAATGATGCTGGTGATAAGTTACCATAGGTTACAATTAATGCTGATGATACATTGGTAATAGTGAGAAGGATACTAATAATGGGCTATCAGTTATGATTGATGCTGATGATGGGTAGGTATTGGTCATAATGTTTACTTATGAAAGGTCTCCAGGGGTTGCCATTGATGCTGATGGGTAGGTATTGGTCATAATATATGCTTATGAAAGGTCTCCAGAGTTTACAATTTACAAGCGCTGAGCAAACCTATTGGCGCTATATAAACACTATATAGTAATGTTAATGGTGGGCTGCTATGAGTTAAAATTGATGCAGAATAAGGGTTGCTATTGGTTGAGAATGATGATATGGGTTGCTATGATGACAGCGAGTTGCTATGGGTTTTGATTAATGCTAATGATGGGTTGCTACTTGTTAAGAATGATGCTGACGATCGGTTGTTATTGGTTACAATTGATGATGATGGGTTGCTATGGGCTATGACTGATGCTGGTGATGGATTGCTATGGGTAACAGTTGATGCTGAAGATAGATTGGTAATGGTGAGAATGATGCTGATAATGGGTTCCTAAGATTTATGATTGATGCTGATGATGGCTAGGTATTGGTCACAATGTATGCTTATGAAAGGTCTCCAGGGGTTGCCATTGATGCTGATGATGGGTTGCTATGAATTACAATTAATGCAGATTACAGATTGCTATTGGTTGAGAATTATGCTGATGGTTGATTGCCATGGGTAACAAATCATACTGATGATGGAATGGTAATGGTGAAAATGATGCTTTTAATGGGTTGCTATGAGTTATGATACATGCTGGCAATTGGTTACTATGGATTACAATGGATGTAGATTAAGGCTTGTTCTTGGATAAAAATTATGCTGATGATCAGTTGCTATGGGTTACAATTGATGTTGATAATGGGTTGCTATGGGTTATGACTGATGCTGATGATAGATTGCTATGAAATAGTATAAGCTGGTGCATAAGTATAAAAAAAGGAGGAGAATTGCTGCACCCACCTACCAAGTGTACTCTCACTTACAAATAAAAATAAACAAAAATGTGATGTGCTAACTCCTCATTACAAATATAAAATTACAAGCAAACAATATGTATTAGAATCCTCAATCAATCAAATGTGAAGATATAATAGTCCAATCCAACATACAAAAAGTCCTAGTATTGTGCAATCATCCAAAATTCCACAGCGTGCTTGTGTGACGGACCCACTCCCTGCTCACCTTAAGGTTTGACCTACAAATTATAACAGGCCAAATGCACTTTTAAGTGGACTGTGTATCCTCCAAACTGTGATCCATGTGATACTCCTTCCAGGCAATATATCTTCACTAAATCTTGACTCCAAACCGTGCATAAAAAAAACTAAATATATTCCATAGTGCAACACTGTTTTAAATGAACTGCACACTAAATGAACTAAACATATGCACTCACATTCAGGAAGAAAAATATATGTGCTCCAAAATAAAGAGATCCAATATTCACATTTCTCCACCGTGCATACTAATCCTTGGTGCTTCCCATCACCAAATAGGTGTACCATACACTCACCTTCTTCCTTGACCTATAAGATAGGTCATAAACACTTAGAAACGATAATCGACGTCTGCTCATCCACTGCTGTCCTTTAGTGGCTATTTCCTTGATACTGGCTGTTTAAGAGAACAGACTCCAGAATTCCCAATGGGAAGTGACATGACTAGGCTCCGACCAACACGTTGCGTCACTGATCACGAGACTTCTTCAGGGTAAGGACCTGAAGAAGTCACGTGATCAGTGATGCAACGCATCAGGGGGAGCCTAGTGACGTCACTTCCAGTACTGCGCAAACCAGAATGTGCGGTGAGAGGAACCATTTTGGTTGATGGAGTGTTATGCCTGCATTCAAATCATCTTTGTGAGTTTATTTTTAACATTTGAATAAAGCGGTCAATTTTACGGGGTTGCACTATGAATTGTTCTCTCTTCCTTTGAGTACACACCATCCCATTGGGAATTCTGGAGTCCGGTCTCTTAAAGGGCCAGTATCAAGGAAATAGCCACTAAAGGGCAGCAGTGGATGAGCAAAAGTCGATTATCGTTTCTAAGTGTTTATGACCTATCTTATAGGTCAAGGAAGAAGGTGAGTGTATGGGACACCTATTCGGTGATGGGAAGCACCATGGATTAGTATGCACGGTGGAGAAATGTGAATATTGTATCACTTTATTTTGGAGCACCTATATTTTTTTCTGAATGTGAGTGCATATGTTTAGTTTATTTAGTGTGCAGCAGGGGTGGACTGACAACTCATGGGGCCCCCAGGGCAATAGGGGATCATGGGGCCCCTGTGTCCTTGCCCAAACTCAAAAAAGCCTATGAAAAAGGTACCAGGGGCATCTCATGGGGCCCCCTACTGACCCCCGGGCAGTGCCCAAGTTTCCAAATAGTCAGTCTGCCCCTGGTGTGCAGTTAATTTAAAACGGTGTTGCACTATGGAATATATTTTGTTTTTTTTATGCATGGTTTGGAGTCAAGATTTAGTGAAGATATATTGCCTGGATGGAGTATCACATGGATCACAATTTGGAGGATACACAGTCCACTTAAAAGTGCATTTGGCCTGTTATAATTTGTAGGTCAAACCTTAAGGTGAGGGAGTGGGTCCGTCACACAAGCACGCTGTGGAATTTTGGATGATTGCACAATACTAGGACTTTTTGTATGTTAGATTGGACTATTATATCTTCAAATTTGATTGATTGAGGATTCTAATACATATTGTTTGCTTGTAATTTTATATTTGTAATGAGGAGTTAGTGCATCACATTTTTGTTTATTTATTTGATAGATTGCTATGGGTTTATGATTTATGCTAGAGATGGGTTATTATGGGTTTCAATTGATGCTGACAATAGATTGCTATTGGTGAGAATGATGCTGATAATGGGTTGCTATGAGTTATGAATGATGCTAATGATGGGATGCTATTGATTAGGCATAATGCTGATGATGAATTGCTGTGGATGATGGGTTGCTATTATGAATGATGACAGGTTGCTTTGGGTTACAATTGATGCCGATGATGGGTCGCTATGGGTTACAATTGATGCTGATGATGGGTTGCTATGAGTTAGAGAACTTCACACGTCAATAAATATCCCAGGATACCCGTAATCCAGGCTGCCTGTTTATTTTCACCTACACCTGAGTTCTAGTATTGACAGGCAGTTCATATGCTGTTGCTGCATCTTCTGGGGATCAGTTTTTTATGTACAGCCAGTACTTATAATATTTTTTTTAAATTTGGATGGATTGGGACAGGCCAGCTTTGTTGGTTGTTGGGTTTCATTGCTTTCATTACTTTGCCCTCATTTTGGAGACTTCTTCTCATTTTAGACCCAGTTAGACACGTAAGGGTTTATTTACTAAAGGCAAATAGACGGTGCATTTTACAAGTCTATTGCAAGAGCAGTCGCTGCATAGCAGCCTTTCTCAACCAGGGTGCCCAGGCACCCTCAAGGGGTGCCTTGAGGTTTCTTCGAGGGGGCCTTGGAATAATGTCTAAAAATTGCCCAAAACTTGTACACAAGCCAGCGGGTGGAACAAGCCTGCCTTTTAGTTATACAAAGCCACAGGTTTTCATTGTGCACCATTACAACCTTCTAGCCGCCGGGACCCTGACAACCAATGACACCATCAGTTGATAAGGAGGATGTCAGCTGCCTGCACAGCATCCTAATTTGACCCTCCCCTGCCCCTCTCCATCATTGCTGGGGGGTCACATTAGCTCAGTGCTGAAGAAAAACTGAGGGAGAAAAGAAACATGGGAATACTAGTCAGTACCAGTGTACAAAAGTGTATTTGCTTTGGAAGAATAAATCACCTCTAACGTTGGGTGTCCTACATGTGTGGATGTTGCATTATATAAAACTAGAATAGTTTTTCACATTTTAGAATGGGGTGCCCTTTTAAAATTATGGACAGTCTTGTGGCACCCCATTTTAGAATTGGGCGCCTCAAGACTGGACATAATTTTAAAGAGTGCCTTGACTGAAAAAAGGTTGTGAAACATTGCTCTATAGCTTAGTAAATGAGGGGAAGCTCGGCTGACTTCCATAATTCAATCAGGTGCAAGCCAAATGTTTTTTTTTTTTTCTTTCCTTGCACGTTATTGGGCATTATTTGCAAAGTGAAGTTTTACCTAATTTATTAAGCTCTAGAGCAACTGCACTTTCAAAGTGTACAGTCTATTTGCTTTTAGTAATTCCACCCCATAGTGTAACTAGGACACTGGGCATTTCTCCAGCAGAACACAGCAAAAAACCCAACAGGTTCTCACCCTTCAGTACCCCATATTTTTATACTACCAGCACTTTGAGTAGCCCTGGGAGTGTGGCAGATAGATGCTCTATCCATGAAGCATTCTGGGTGACAGAGTCAGTCATGTACTTTCTGTGCGGTCTGTGGTGTTAGAGGGGTGCTGTCTGCGAGGGATCGGATGGTTTGTTTGAATATAACAAGGGTTATGGAGAACTCAGACCATTATGGGACCACCTGCCATCGTTGACTCTGTAATCTCTCTCTCCACTCATAGGTGTGGTCCGCTTCTTCGCCATGTCGGTCACGGAGTTCAGCCTCTTGCGATGGCTGCGAGAACGGAGACAGTCACGGAAATTAATCCTTCTGATCGTATTTATCGCTTTGCTGCTGGATAACATGCTGCTCACCGTAGTTGGTAGGTGCTACTTGTGTGTGCTTGTATGTATTCGTGTGTGTTTGTGTGTATGTTTGTGCACTTAGTGTGTGTTTGCTTGTGTGTTTGTACATGCAACTTCTTGCACCAGCTCAACAAACTCTAGACCACACCATTTATAGGACACACAGCTTACAAAGTGAGACAACATTCTGAAATGCTTTTATAACCATACAGACAGATCCAGTCTTATCACAAAGACATCTGATCTGTCCATGTCCTGCAATACTCACAGGTTAAATTTCCAGCTCAAATTGGATCTACTGTACAGTAGTTTCCCATCGCGATGAAGATGCTTGTAACTGACATTTGTAGCTCTCCAGAAAGCTCATCCTAATTCCAATCTGTTACATGTTGTGAACGTCACATAAGGTGCCCCCATCAGGACCGGGACAGGGTGAGCAGGAGGGGCAGCTGCCCTGGGAGCAATGGTTCATTGCAGCGATGGGCGCTCCCTGTGCCAGTTGCTTTTGTTACAAGGCTGACAGGAGTATGACAGCGACATCACTGCTAACCCTCAAAGGAAGGGGGTGGTGCAGTTTGGCATCTTTGCTCTGGGCGCTGGATGACTTTGTCCCAGCACTGGCCCCCATAGACATCTGAGCTACAATCCGACCACCCTCAGCTGACCGTCATATTTAATGCTGCAGAGAGCTAAGAGAGTGGCAGCATTGTTCGCCATGGAGAGGAACAATGGTGACTAAGTAAATGAACCAAATTCATTCCGGTGTCCTGAAAAGAGAGAGGGCATATCCAGAACAGAGTATCTTTCTCTCCTCTCACTTACCCCAAACAAGTCAGATCAGGCTTATCTGTCCAGATTGTACACATAAATCATTGAATCAGTAACCGATTTCAATAATATGCTGAACTTCAAAGGAGCTGCAGCAATGAATATATAATTCATAAAAAGTTGCCATAAATACATCCAAGCATGCTTCAAACTAGTAAATGTCACCATCACAAAATGCCACCTTTAGAAAAAGTCACCATCAGTAGATACTGCATTCAGAAAATGGCATCATCAGGAAATGCCAACATAAGAAATTGTAATCATCAGATAATGTCCTCATCAGGAAATGCCATCAGTAAATGCCACATCAGGAAATACTATCGTGAAGTAATGTCACTATCAGGAAATGCTATAGTGAGAAAATGTTACCATCAGGAAATTCATAGGAAAAGGTCCATATCAGGATATGCCATCATCAAGAAGTATCATCAGGAAATACCTTCATCAGGAAAAGTCATCATCTCTAAATTACATAGTTACATAGTTAGTCTGGCTGAAAAAAAGACAAAAGTTCATCCAGTTTAACCATTAAAAAAAAAAGCTATAATCCTACACCAACAGTTGATCCAGAGGAAGGCACCATCAGGATATGCTATTGTGAGGAAATGTCATCACCATGGAAAGACACCATCAGGAAACTTCACCCTCAGGAAATGTCACCATCAGGAAATGTTATCAAGAAATGTCACCATCAAGAAATGCCTCCATCAGGAAATGTCATCTTCTGGAAATGTCACCATTAAGAAATGTTATTGTTAGGAAATGTCACTATCAGGAAATGCCATCATGAGGAAATATCACCACCAGGGAAAGACACCATCGGGAAATGCCTCCATCAGGAAATGCCTCCATCAGGAAATGTCATCTTCTGGAAATGTCACCATCAGGAAATGCCACTATCAGGAAATGCTATTGTTAGGAAATGTCACCATCAGGAAATGCCATCATGAGGAAATATCACCACCAGGGAAAGGCACCATCAGGAAATGTCTCCCTTAGGAAATGCCTTCACCAGGAAATGCCACCAGCAGGAAATATCATCATCAAGAAATGTCAATCATCAAGAAATGGTATGTGTTCATCAGGAAAAGACACCATCAGGAAATGTCACTCTCTGGGAATGCCTTCATTAGGAAATGCCAGAACCAGGATATGTCATCATGAGGAAATGTCACCATCAGGAAATACTATCATGAGGAAATATCACCACTAGGAATTGTCTTCATCAGAAAATTACATCATTGACAAAATGTCATTATAAGGGAAAGGTCATAACCAGGAAATGCAATCACTAGGAAATGTCTTCATCAGTAAATGGCACAAACAGGAAACGTCTTATAGAAAATGTCATCATCTGGAAATGTCACCCTCAAGAATGTCACCATCAGCAGGAAATGCCACAAACATGAAATGCCACCATAGGCCATAAATAAATTTCGGATCCCTTCATATCAGTTCAAGAGGTCCAAGTTGTCTTCTAATGAAAATTCATAAACGTGATTTGAGGTCAGCGACTGGTGTGTTTGAAGATGGACTACAAAGTTGGATGGACTACAAATCCCAGAAACTCTAGAAGAACAAGCACAGACAGCCAGTGGTGTATTATAAGCAGACCTGTCAGTGACTCAGTCTAGGATGGCCTACAAGTTCCAGCAATCCTTATCCTAATAAACATCAAAGCAGCATGCACAGATCAGTCACAAGCAATGTCAGATAATTGGATGATGTATAACAGTCAGAAAGCTTGTTATCCGTGGACGGCCATTATAATCTGAATTTGTGACTATTATTAATCAATAGCATGTCTTTAATACAGCTATCTGGAATCTTTATATTATCTTCCTATCATCAGACAGAAGGAGTAGCAGTGCCAATTAGGGGCACACACAGCCCTCAGCCAAGAGGACCTGTCTAATCTGTTTCTAAGAAAGGTCTTGGCTGCATTTGCGTCAAGGTGTTGTCCTAATCAGAGCACTAACATCTGGATTTCCCCCACAATACACATTGCAGCATTCTGACTTCCCCCTAAAACCCAGAGCTGGACATTTTCTCCATACTGCTGAAAAGACATGACAGCTTTCCAGCAATTCCCAGCACCCCATAAATTGGGTGGGAGGTGATACATTGCACGTTAATTATCTGCTAATTCACAGGTGTGTTAACATGTTTCGGGCACTGGGAGTTGGAAGAGAATAGTCTTGGGGCAATGTGGTGTTTGTGAAGCTTACTGGATAGGACAGCTCAGCAGTATGAGGATGCTGATTACTGAAGATGCCGTAGTGAACAGTGGTGTCACCCTCTTGCTATATGGTGTTGGAGGGGTCTGAATCATGACAAACGGAATCAGAAATCTTTGGTCAGGTTAGAGTTCATAAATGTGTATTTATCTGATGGCCTGGAGGGCAGCCTAAAGCTGCACACAGATTAAGCAATAGAGAGTGATCAAACTCTCAATTCCATTCTGTGTCCAAATCACACAGCAAATAAGGACATAAAAAGATCAATCATATTGACCTGATCGATCCAAAAAATTCAAACAATTTCAGTTAAACTGTAATCATTTTCCACTCCAATTCAATTTGATCTTTCAATAAACTGTCTTAAAGCTGTCAATTTATTGCCCGGTTTCAGCTTTGTAATTGACCAAGTTCTGATGGTTGACCGAACTCACGGGTTGCATGTTGCTTAGTTTATGGCGAAAACTTGGGATCACATTAACAATTCCCAGTAGATGGAACGTGATTGAAATTGACTGAAAATCACTCCATGTATGGCCAGTTGTAGTGAAATGTCTGTGCAGAGCGTGGTTACTTTCTCATCCGGCAGTGAGTGGGTTAATTCTGCCCTCCTTCCTCCCCCGGCTCGGCGTTTGTTCCCCGGCGGCACCTTGGATGTCTCCCTTTTATCTGAGCTTCTCTCATCATCTTCATATTAAATTCAACACAATTTCCTGGCTGTGCCAACAAGCCTCAGTCAGCGCTATTGTGTGTCCGCTCGATCATTTGCATCAATCAGCAGCACTGAGATCATTTGATCATAAATATGATCATATTATGAGATTACTTGGTGGAATCAGAGATGCGATTGATCACTAAGTTACGCTCATATCGAAACTATTAATCGAAATTCCCTTCTCCATGTATGTGTGGCAAATCGATTGAATAGGTCCTCGACTATAGATTGATTACTCCTACCGGAAGAGATTGATCGTAAAATAAATTAATAATTTATCAGAGCATATATGGCCACCATTTGGCAGATTTCAATTATAACTTGCAATTTCCGTGTGAAAGAAACTGCACTGTATTTTTTAGTGCATGGGGGTGTCAAACAGTTAATAGAACCCCCACATTTTATCTGCAGAAATGCTCTTGTGTATGGCTGTATTCTGCTGCGTGAATATGTGCGATTTTCACACACTACCGCACCCACATATATGTGAACGTAGCCAAATAAAATATCAACCGTTGTGCAAATAATGAATAATAAAGGTAATAATATTAACAAAGTTATAAACCTTCAATCAAATGTTGTCGGAAAGCAATAGGGAAGGGAACCTCACACCAGGGCATAAATTGTATATACAGTATATTATAATATATAGTATATTTCACTTCTACTAAAAGGTGGTGATAATCTTTTGTAGGAATACCAATTCATGATATTAATAATTTTGGGGGTTATTTGTACTTTCCAGGCATTTTTATTTGATATGTTTTATAACATAAAGTAAGGGAAATAGTTTTTTTTTTAGTATAGTAACTAGTATAGTTAGTAGTAAAGTAAAAACTGAAAAGAAATGTTATAAGTAAATATCATTTAAAAAAAAAGCTGTCAAAAAAAAAAAAAAAAAAAAATATATATATATATATATATATATATATATATATATATATCACTTTATGTACAGTACAGTGTTGTATGACCAAGTAACTGTCATTCAAACTATCACATCAGTGAGAACTTGAAAATTACCTGGTAATAAGGGGTATCGCAGGCTAGTATTCAAGTGGTTACAGTAAAACAAAACAAAATGGCAACAAAATTGTTATGTTAACATATATACATATGAGACAACAAAAAGAAAAGTCTACAATAGCATATTTTAAGTGGGAATTATTAAAGTGATTACCATGTTTATTATATTTTATTATTATCCTTATTTATATAGAGCTGACAATTTATGCAGCACCTTACATATTACAATTGCAATGTAAGCCAAGGATTACATATTTTATGAAATAGGCCAGAATTTGTCTTTTGGATATAGTATGATCAATTTAATGTAATCAGACACATGCTTTTTTTTGTGTGAGCAAATTGATCTCCAAATTAAAAAAAAAAATTCTGGTAAAAGATTTATTTCCATATTTATATAGGAAAAAAACAATTTTATCATTAGCAAACACTTTTTTAAGCAGGTCTGAAATAAATTCATAAGCATGGCTCCAAAATGTTTTAAAACTGAAGTCCAAGAAATTCTTCCGTGCAGTGGGGCTGCACCTGCAATGCGACGGTTAACTGCTCATTTAGGTCTAGGGGGCACAGAAAAGTGGATTTACTTACTTGATTTTCGGCTCCTCCGCACTGCTAGATCAGTTTCAGCAGTGTCTTCTAATGTATGCTCCAGTGGTCTAAGGTAATCAAAACCAATGCAACATTCACATACTTGTATTGGATGTGACAATATTAAGGGACAGTCCACCTTTAAAACATAGGGGAGCGCCGTCTGTGGGGGGAGAGGAGGATCAGGTAAGTAAAACGATTTCTCCTCTTTCCTACACAAAATGAGTTATTAACCCTTGCATTAAATAATGAGGGGTTATTTTTTGGTAAAAGAACAGGTCCAGGCTAAGTGAGAGAAGCTTCTTTAAACCCCAGGAGACATCCAACCCTTTCTCTTCCAGTGATGTAACTACTGTTACCATGTATCTCACTTGTCTGTTCCAATCAGCTTTAACAGAGTGCAGAGGTAACATTAGGGGCCTAATAGACTCCTGATGTCTTCATAAAGTGTTTGTAAAGTAAAATTAGTTTTCTTTCAAACTAGCAAACATGTTATGCTTACCTGTTCTGTGTAATGGTATAGCAGAGAGTGGTCCCAATCCTCCTCTTCTTGGGTCCCTTGCCAGCACGCTTGGCCCCTCCTGTTCTTGCCGCACCACCATAGGGAGCCGATTCCTATTGTGGCACATGTGCGGGCTTGATCCTGAGCTGTGCTGTCTGTGTCTATAGAAACAGACAACAAGGCTTGCTTCTATCCCCTGCTCCCTTGTCACAGGATTTGACTGACAGCAGCAAGAAGCAAAGGCTTCCTTTGCTCTCAGCAAAGTCTATGAGAGAGAGTAGAAGTGGAGAAAGCCACTGCAGACAGGCATAGCGCTGGATTGAGATCATACTCAGGTAAGTATACTGGGGGTAGGGGGCAATGTTCTTTACCTTAATGCAGGGAATGCATAAAGATAAATGTTTAGGCTTTACAACCACTTTAAAGAGTACCTGTTACCAGCACATTCCTTATCCCCTGCATCGTGCGTAGCAGCACTTTTTCTTTAAATGCTACACTTCCTTCCATTACACATGTAGCTCCAAGGAGGCCATGCTGCCAAAAATGCTGGCCCTTCAATCTCCCTTTCATCTGCCATTTTCAGGAAGTTAGAATTGTGGGCCCCTTAGAGGGTGCTCCAGGTTGCTTAATCTGTGTTCATGCACTGTGTGCTCTTGCTTTCTTTAGTTGCAGCCACTGAGTTCAGCTTGTATTATTATTATTACTAAACAGCAGAAACACATTTCAATTATATATAAACCCTTCACTAAAATGTCATATAATCTTCAATATGTTGATGTCATATTAAAAGTCATTTCAACCTCTATTTATTTTTAAACATTCCATATTTAGTAATTTTCATACAGACAGGAATGCAACAACTTAGGTCACAAGTAGAGATAATGACCAGTCCATAGACAACATAGTAAACAAAACAGGATCCCACACTACTATAGAGTGTGATATTTGCCTATGGAGAGGTGCTTGTAAGCAATGAGAAAGGTACATATCCATGTTGCAATTTTTAGCAAACCTGAACATAAAATAGGGGTTCCAGGAGCTGGAATCATGGGGGGATCATGCTGACTAAAGTTAAACAATAATGATATAAGAAGCAAGACTCAAAAAAGATTAATATCTCATGAAAGTACTGTGCCTTACCAAACTAAAATACACAACTGCATCCCACAACATTGGCTGTGAGTGATCACATGACACTGCCAGTTTTTCCCCCAATAGGGTTTGAGAGGTCGCAGGATACCATCATACTGCCAGTACTCACTCTTTGGGACCAGAGAAGTCACATGACACTGCCAGCTTTTACTACATTGGCTCGGAAAGAACACATGACACCATCATGTTGCCAATACTCAATCTATAGGCTCTGAAAGGTCACATGACACTACCAGTTCTCACTACATTGGCTTTGGGATGGTCACATGACACTGCCTACTTAAACTCTGCAACTATCAAACATGCCTCAGTGAGATAGTTTAGTAGGGTTGTACTGCTACTCAATGCCTCTCTGATATTTCTGTTCACAGTTCCCATCATTCCCAGCTACTTGTACACCATGGCACATGAATCAAACAGCAGTGTCCACCAAGAGGGTTCAAGTCTGTCTGCATCCAGCAGCTTCCAGACCATCTTCTCCTACTATGACAATAGCACCCTGTTCATCGCAAATGCCACAACTGAGTCACTGCTCCAAGTCAAGGAAGCAACACCACCATCTGTACTCCCCAGTGCTGTGCCAACATCATTGCCCCAAGGCTGACTCAAACTTACTCAATGAAAATGTCAAAGTTGGTTTATTGTTTGCATCGAAAGCCACCGTCCAGCTGCTGACCAATCCCTTCATCGGGCCTCTAACCAACAGGTATGACAGGAGCATGATCCTGCACAGCATCACGTTCTACATATAGGGCTAAGGGGCCCTCATTTATTAATGTATCTCATGGAAAGATAGTCTGTTGTGCCCTTCACCATTCTACTTCTCAGGTCCAACTAGTACAGTGTTCATTTTGATTAATGGCTCTGTTGTTCATCATCCTTAAGAGTCTGATGAGCATTATAATGGGCCAAATGCAGAGTTTGAGTTTTGTAGATAAATACAGTGGGGTAAATAGTTATTTGGTCACCTGCAGATTTTGTAAGTTTGCCCACTTACAAAGAAATTAAGGGTCTATAATTTATATCATAGGTGTATTTTAAAATGATGGAGACAGAATATCAACCTAAAATCCAGAAAAAAAACACGATACAAAATGTTATAAATTGAGTTGCAGTTCAGTGAGTAAAATAAGTATTTGATCCCCAACCAAACATGACTTAGTATTTGGTAGAGAAACCCTTGCTCGCAAGCACAGAAACAAGGTATTTCTTGTAGTTGGTTAGCAGGTTTGCACACATCTCAGGAGGGATTTTGGTCCATTCCTCTTTATAGATCTTCTCTAAATCCTTAAGGTTTCTTGGCTGTTGCTTGGCTTGAAGTTTCAGCTCCATCCATAAATGTTCTATAGGATTAAGGTCTGGAGATTGGCTAGGACTCCATGACCATAATATGCTTCTTCTTGAGCCACTCCTGTTGCATGGCGGTATGTTTTGGTTCATTGTCATGCTGAAAGACCCATCCACGACCCATCTTCAGTGTTCTGGCTGAGGGAAAAAGGTTCTCATCCAAGATTTTTCAATACATGGCCCGTTCATTGGCCCCTCAATGCGGCAAAGTCGGCCTGTACCTTTAGCAGTGAAACAGCCCTAAAGCATGTTTCCACCTCCGTGCTTGACTGTAGGGATGGTGTTCTTAGAGTCATAGTCAGCATTTCTCTTCCTCTAAACACGGCAAGTCGAGTTAATGCCAAAGAGCTCTTTCTCATAATCCTTCTCTGAGTCATTTAGATGTTCATTGGCAAACTTCAGACAGGCCTGTACATGTGCCTTCTTGAGGAGGGGGACCTTGTTACTGCTGCAGGATTTCAGTTCATGGGCATATTGGGCATCCAGTGTATCGTGTTACCAATGATTTGTTTGGTGACTGTGGTTTCAGCTGACTTGAGATCATTCACAAGCTCCTCCCATGTAGTTCTGGGCTGATCCCTCACTTTTCTCATGATCATCCTTACCCCATGAGGCAAAATCTTGTATGGAGCTCCAGACCAAGGGGCGATTGATGGTTATTTTGTATATCTTCCATTTGCGAACAATGGCTCCAACAGTTGTCTCCTTCTCACCAAGCTTCTTGCTGATGGTCTTGTAGCCCATTCCAACCTTGTGCAGGTCTACAATCTTGTCCCTGACGTCATTTGACAGCTCTTGGTCTTGCCCATGATGGTGAATGGAAGAAAGAGAATCTGTGGACAGGTGTCTTCTATACACATAACATGTTGTTGTTAGGATCACCTTCTTAAATTGACAGGACTAATCTGTGTACCACATGAGCACATAGCCAGTCTGTGGGAGCCAGAATTATTGTTGGTTGGTAAGGGATCAAATAATTATTTTACTCACTGAACTGCAACTCAATTTATAACAATTGTATCATGTTTTTTCTGGATTTGTGGTTGATATGCTGTCTCTATCATTTAATATACATCTATTATAAAAATCATAGACCGTTCATTTCTTTGTTGTAGGCAAACGTACAAAATCTGCAGGGGATCAACTATTTTCCCCACTGTATCTCTAAGCACAATAATACTGGGATATACACTCTATGGCCAAAACTTTGATAAAGGCACTATTCTGTTCCAGCATGACTGTGTCCCTGTGCACAAAGCCAGCTCCATAAAGACATGGCCTACCCAGTTTGATGTTTTGAGCTATGTTTTCAACCCTGTTGATAGGTTTTATAGGTTTGGGATGAATTGGAAAGCTGTTTGTGAGCCATGTCTTCTCATCCAACATAAGTATGTGACCTCACAAATGAGCAAACATTAGATATCCCCCAAAATCTTGTGGAAAGCCTCCCCAGAAGAGTGGAGGCTGTTATAGCCACCAGGGTGGGAGCAACTCCATAATAATGGCCATGGATGCGGTGTGATGGTCAGGGGTACACAAATATTTGGTCATATAGTGTATCTGCCATGATCTGATCATATGCATATAGAGAGAAACCCAACATCACATGGTAATCCTCATCCTTCACATAGGGAAGGATTGGGCTGACAGCTCCAGAACTTGCATCGTTATCGTTAAGTCAAGGCAGGAAATTGCACTCACCATACTGCCACTAAGTGTTGTGTGTTGTATTGGCAGGATTGGTTACCAGATCCCCATGTTTGCTGGTTTCTGCATCATGTTCCTCTCAACCATCAGTAAGTATTTCTCTGTTTGGCATCTCCTCCTAGAAAATCAAATCTGATACCCCTAACAGGGCAATGCTGCAGAATCCAGAAGGCATAGTGTGTCCGACATTGCCTTCATCCAGGTCAAGTCACATTATTACTGGACAATAGCAGCAGATACACTACAACAGCTATTGTGTGGCTGCAGACCTGTAACCCTTCTATGACTTCCAAATGGAATTAAATAGAAGATCCCTTCTGATGCCGATACGATTTATAGTCCAGATAGACCCTAAATATAGAACCATTTATCCAACTGTCCACCCAGTGCCATTGGTTTATAGTCCAGATACAACTTAAATATAGAACCATTTATCCCACTATACACCCAGGAACACTGGTTAATAGTCCAGATACAACCTAAATATAGAACCATTTATCCAACTGTACACCCAGAGCCACTGGTTTATAGTCCAGATACAACCTAAATATAGAGCCATATATCCAACTGTACACCCAGAGCCACTGGTTTATAGTCCAGATACAACCTAAATATAGAGCCATTTATCCAACTGTACACCCAGAGCCACTGGTTTATAGTCCAGATACATGCTAAATATAGAGCCATATATCCAACTGTACACCCAGAGCCACTGTTTTATAGTCCAGATACAACCTAAATATGAAACCATTTATCCAACTGTACACCGAGAGCCACTGGTTTATAATCCAGATACAACCTAAATATAGAGCCATTTATCAACTGTCCATCTAGAGCTGCTGGTTTATAATCCAGATACAACCTAAATATGAAACCATTTATCCAACTGTGCACCCAGAGCCACTGGTTTATAGTCCAGATACAACCTAAATATGAAACCATTTATCCAACTGTACACTAAGAGCCACTGGTTTATAATCCAAATACAACCTAAATACAGAGCCATATATCAACTGTCCATCTAGAGCTGCTGGTTTGTAGCACAGCCTAAAAACATAGACATTTATCCAACAGGAGATACTGGTTTCAAGTTTAAAGGTACAACCTAAATATAGAGCCATTCTTCTACTATATTACTATTTATACAAATATTTCCTCTTTTCTAGTGTTCGCATTTTCTGGGAGTTACGTTTTACTTTTCATAGCGAGATCCCTGCAAGGAATCGGCTCATCGTGCTCCTCTGTCGCAGGTTGGCTGTCAGTCCTGTACTGCTAATGTAACGTATCCTCTGTTAGAGACACACAGTTCTGTGTAAAAACAGAGCTTCCTGATCATGAAGAGTATTCACTATCCCCACAGAGAACAGACCTTCCTCTTCCGCAGGATAGTACTCACTAATTCAGAAAAGCTGGAGCAAAATCATTAGTGTCCGTAGACAAAACACTATGGCTGCACATCCAGTAAAATCACCTTTATTTCTTCTTAAACCATATTCCACAAAACATGACAGGGATACAGGACTCAAACTGATGAGTTTCACACTTTGACTAAGCACTAACTCTAGGTTCACATCTGTGCGGGTGGTGCCGCTGTGGATCCGCACGAAAATCTGTGCAGCCGCACCACCCCCATAGAGAAATGCAGACCCGCAGGCGGGTGCCATTAATTCTAATGGCACGCTGCCCGTACTGGAAAATGCAACCGTAGTGGGAACCGAAATTCCCGTGCGGGCTGCGTTTTCCAAAGAAGTGCAGGGACTTCTTTCCTTGTGTGTCATGGAGCAAGGGAGTCCATTCAAATGAATGGGCTCTTGTGCCTGTGCAAAACGCACCCGCACGGGTGCATAGATGTGAACCAGGGGCAATGGAGCTTGAGTCCTGTATTCCGGTCATGTTTTGTAAAGGTATAAAAAGGAGAAAAGCGCCTCTATGTGCAATATGTTGTACATTTATTGAGGAACATAATGAGAAACACTCACATGATGAAAGAAAACGAAGGCTTAGGCATCCTGGATGCCTTGGATGCTTATGATTGGCCCAGTACAGTTACAGCTGCCTGACGGCCTCAGACTAGGATCCAAATACACCTGAGTTCTTCCCTACTCACCAGTAAAAAGACATTGGGAAGTAGCAGGTCAGTCAGTGTTTAGCGGCCTGGCACATGCTGCGAAACGCGTTGCATTGCATGCTGGACATTCTTATGTCATCACGCTGATGCGGACGTTGTGCTCCAGGGTGGACTACAGACGCCATTCTTTGCATCTCACACATGACGACCGGTTCCCTGTGAACATCCCAAGTCTCCTCCAGCACGGACTACTGCGTATACATCGAGGACGCCGCCATGTCCTTCGTGTTCACTACATATGCCTAAGCCTTCGTTTTCTTTCATCATGTGAGTGTTTCTCATTATGTTCCTCAATCAATGTACAACATATTGCACTTAGAAGCGCTTTTCTCCTTTTTATATATTCACCCAGAGCCTGCTACAGCTACAAAAGCTTGCCCTAGTGCTATATGAACCTACTGCATATGTCATTTGGACTTTAATATCCATTTTGTTTAGTGCCCATTTTCATGAAGGATTGGGGAATTTGTATGCGCTGATTTTTTGTTTATTATTCTCTGTCATGTTTGTGGAATATGGTTTAAGAAGAAATAAAGGTGATTGTACTGGGTGTGCGGCCATAGGAAGTGTTTTGTCTACTGAAGTCTGGAGCGGACACGACTAACACCTGGTACTAGGTGTGTGACTGGTAGCGGAAGAAGGGACTGACCTAGAGCGGTGTTCATTGACTTTATAATTAGTGTCAGGTTTTGGCTTTTTTACTGAAAAATTATAGATGTATCCTGACTGGTCATTATCTCCAATTGTGTGCTACTATATGACTAAGAGTGAAACTGTTGGCGAAGTCATATATAAAAAATGTATATACAGTGAAGGAAATAAGTATTTTATCCCCTTCTGATTTTGAATGTTTGCCCACTCACAAAGAAATGATCAGTCTAAAAGTCAAATGGTAGGTGTATTTTAACACAGAGACAGAATAGCAACAAAAAAATTCAAAAGAAATGCATGTCGAACAAATGATGCCCTGATTTGCATGTTCATGAGGGAAATAAGTCATGGCCGAAATTTTGGCACCCTTCTGAATTCAAGTATTTCACACAAAAAATAGCACATGTTTATTCCCTTTGTATGTATTGGAACAAATATAAAACAGAGGCAAAAAGTGACATAATGTCCAAAAATGGGCTGGACAAAAGTACACCCTTACACTTAATATTTGGTTGCACACCCTTTGGAAAACATAACTGAAATCAGTCGCTTCCTATTCAATAAGCTTCTGCGGAATTTTGGTCCTTGCAAACAGCTCCAGGAAAGGGAACACCTTTTCCCAACAGCAATTTTTAAGATCTCTCCACAGGTGTTCAATGGATTTAGATCTGGGCTCATTGCTGGCCACTTCAGCAAACTCTCCAGCGCTTCTTTGCCATCCATTTCTGAGTGCTTTTTGACGTATGTTTGGGGTCATTGTCCTGTGGAAGACCCAGGATCTTGGACGCAAACCCACTTTCTGTGGGCCCTACAGTGCGACCCAAAATCCTTTGGTAATCCTCAGATTTCATGATGCCTTGCACAAGTCAAGGCACCCAGAGAGGCAGCAAAACTATCTCCATAGGTACTGGTTTTGTTCTTTGTAGTGCCTCATTCCGTTTTCGGTAAACAGTAGAATGATTGTGCTTTCGAAAAGCTCTATCTTGGTCTCATCTGTGTCAAGACGTTTTCCCAGAAGGCTTTTGGCTTACTCAAGTACATTTTGGCAAACTGTAGTCTTGCTTTTTTATGTCTCTGTGTCAGCAGTGGGGTCCTCCTGGGTCTCCTGCCATAGCGTTTCATTTCATTTAAATGTCGACGGATAGTTCGCGCTGACACTGATGCTCCCTGAGCCTGCAGGAGAGCTTGAAGGAACATGTTTGGGGCTGCTTATCACTCCGGACTATTCTGCGTTGCAATCTTTCATCAACATCATGTCCACGACAGGGAGATTAGCTACAATGGGTTGCAAAGCAGCGCACTGTGACAAAGCAAAGTTCTCTGGAGATGGACTTGTAACCTTGAGATTGTTGATATTTTGCACAATTTTGGTTCTGTCCTCAAGAATCCATAGTCAGACACACAATGCAAAGGTTAAGTGAAATCTGCTTTCAGGTGTGATTTCTATATTGCCCACACACTTGCCCCAGGTGAGTTTACAGGAGCATCACATGCTTGTAACATTCAATTTATCCGCAGTTGTGAAAGGGTGCCAATACTTTTGTCCAGCCCATTTTTTTGGAGGTTTGTGTGACATTATGTCGAATTTGCTTTCTTTCCTCCCTTGTCCCAATACACACAAAGGGATGTGTCAAGCAAAACAGAAATGCAATACGTTTCGTGAGAAATACATGATTTCCAAAGGGTGATTGCAACAATTTCGGCCATGACTGAAGTATTTGATCCCCTATCATTCAGCAGGATTTCTGGCTACCAGGTGTCTTTCACACAGGTACAAGCTGAGATTAGAAGCAGTCTCTTAAAGGGAGTGCTGCTAATCTCATTTTGTTACCTGTATAAAAGACACCTGTCCACAGGAGCAATCAATCAGATTGCAAACTCTCCACCATGGCAAAGACCAAAGAGCTGTCCAAGGATGTCAGGGACAAGATTGTAGACCTACACAAGGCTGGACTGGGCTACCAAACTATCGCCAAGCAGCTTGGTGAGAAGGTGACAACAGTTGGTGCAATCATTCGCAAATGGAAGAAACATAAAACCACTATCAGTCTCCCTAGGTCTGGTGCACCATGCAAGATCTCACCTCGTAGAGTGTCAATGATCATGAGAACAGTGAGGAATCATCCCAGAACTACACGTGAGGATCTTGTCAATGATCTCCAGGCAGCTGGGACCACAGTCACCAAGAAAATAATTGGTAACACACTATGCCGACAAGGATTGAAATCCTGCAGTGCCCTCAAGGTCCCTCTGCGCAAGAAAGCACATGTCCAGGCCCATCTGAAGTTTGCCACTGAACTTCTGAATGATGCAGAGGACGACTGGTTTAAAGTGTTGTGGTCAGATGAGACCAAAATCGAGCTCTTTGGCATTAACTCAACTCGCTGTGTTTGGAGGAGGAGGAACGCTGCCTATGACCCCAAGAAAACCATCCCAACTGTCAAACATGGTGGCGGAAACATTCTGCTTTGGGGGTGTTTTTCTGCTAAGGGGACAGGACAACTGCACCGCATCAAAGGGACGATGGACGGGGCAATGTACCATCAAATTTGGGTGAGAACCTTCTTCCCTCAGTCAGGGCATTGAAAATGGGTCGTGGATGGGTGTTCCAGCATGACAATGACCCAAAACACATGGCCAAGACAACAAAGGAATGGCCCAAGAAGAAACACATTAAGGTCCTGGAGTGGCTTAGCCAGTCTCCAGACCTTAATCCAGATGAAAATCTGTGGAGGAGCTGAAAGTTCGAGTTGCCAAATGTCAGCCAACAAACCTTAATGACTTGGAGAGGATCTGTCAAGAGGAGTGGGCCAAAATCCCTCCTGAGATGTGTGCAAACCTGGTGGCCAACTACAGGAAACGTCTGACCTCTGTGATTGCCAACAAGAGATTTGCCACCAAGTACTAAGTCATGTTTTCTGAGAGGGATCAAATACTTATTTCCCTCATGAACATGCAAATCAGTGCATCATTTGTTAGACATGCATTTCTTTTGAATTTTTTTTTAGCTATTCTGTCTCTCAGTGTTACAATACGCCTAACATTCGATTTTTAGACTGATAATTTCTTTGTGAGTGGGCAAACATTCAAAATCAGCAAGGGATCAAATACTTATTTCCTTCACTGTAGTCTGTCAGTAGCATTAACACATCAGTTTTTGTTTTTCTGGAGTCCCCCCTGTAACATAATTTTTATTACCTTTAGATCCAGCCAGGAGATCTGTTATCAACTTCCTGTAACAGGGTGTCAACGCTGTTCTTTTTTTGCAATGAAATTACACGGCAGTGTTGTCACCCTGTGAGCAGAGGAGCCATAGTGAGGAAGCAACATATCGCCTCCTGTCAAACTGATAAATCGCTTTTCAGAGGAGCAGCAGTGCCTGCTGCACTTGTTAATGAGCCCTTAGTTACATTTGGCAGCGGCACCCTTAGGGCTCATTTACACGTAAAGTTGGCGGCTGGTAAAACCCTG